AGTTTTTCTTCCCTAGGATTTGAGTCTTTGAGAGAGGGAGGGAGGGAGAGACAAAGGATGGAATATAATAACCCTAAAGACCTTAAAAAGATTGTTTGGAACCCTCTTCCAACAAAAAAAACAAAACAAAAAGGGGCCAAAAATCGAATTCAATGAATTGATCGATTCAGTGATTTAGTTCTACGATTCATCGAGATTTACGATTCATGCAACCTGTTTTTATCGATCACCTCCTGAATTGTATTGAATCATACGATTCAAATCACAACTGTGCAATTCCAAAAACAGATGTAAGAAATTAAAATCAGCCGACAGCTAGTAGCCAAATGGCAAACAAATACATGGGATAACGATATTAACGAAGAATAATACTTATTTCAACTGTCATGCAAATAGAAATATTTATAAGGAAAATTAATATTTAATCATACAACTTAGCTTACCTTTTAGATCATTGTTCAAACTGTGGCCAATTAATACTGTTTTTCCATCCCGTAAAAGCTTCTTCATTGAGTCCTATAAATTCACCAGAGAGAAAGACATTCAAATGCCAACTAACTTTTATTCATTTAGTTATTTTATATTTCAAATGATTTTTAGTTATTTATATATTAAACTTTTACCTAATTATATTTTTGGCTGTGCTGTTTGCAATTTACTTCAAAAACTAACCACATATTACCTGTACATTAGCCAATGAACAAGTAACTCCATCCAAATCTTCTGCACTGACCCCAGTAATATCACTCCTATAGTCTGCAACTGCTTTATTTGGATTTACAAGTTCGTTAAGTTTGACCAGAAAAACTCCAAATTCCAAAACACCACATCAACTTGGGAAGTGAAAAGAAAATTGTTCAATTGAGACCTCTGAGACGTCTAAAATTGTCAAACTAGTTGCAACATAGGTAATTCTTTTGCACCTGTGTTTCTGTGCGTGAGGTGAGAGGGAGGTATTACGAAGTCATGCTGCACAAAAATTTGAAAACAAGCTCAAAACAGTACCTGTAGATCGCGCCCAACAGCACAAACCCTCACCAGAGCTTCAGTGCCATCTTCAAAGAGAACCATCTCACAATCAACGACAAGCATTTTTGGAAATTTCTTTATCTGGTTTGTACTGAGCTTCATTCTCAACCATCCCTAAAGTTAAGAAGAAGACAACACAAATCAATTAGCATAAAAAAATCAACCATAAACGAAATCAAAAAACTAAAAGAAACCTTCATTGTTTACTTGTCTCGTTTGGTAACTCACTGTTTTACATTCCAAAAACAGATGTAAGAAATTAAAATCAGCTGACAGCTAGTAGCCAATGGCAAACAAATACATGGGATAACGATATTAACGAAGAATAATACTTATTTCAACTGTCATGCAAATAGAAATATTTATAAGGAAAATTAATATTTAATCATAAAACTTAGCTTACCTTTTAGATCATTGTTCAAACTGTGGCCAATTAATACTGTTTTTCCATCCCGTAAAAGCTTCTTCATTGATTCCTATAAATTCACCAGAGAGAAAGACATTCAAATGCCAACTAACTTTTATTCATTTAGTTATTTTATATTTCAAATGATTTTTAGTTATTTATATATTAAACTTTTACCTAATTATATTTTTGGCTGTGCTGTTTGCAATTTACTTCAAAAACTAACCACATATTACCTGTACATTAGCCAATGAACAAGTAACTCCATCCAAATCTTCTGCACTGACCCCAGTAATATCACTCCTATAGTCTGCAACTGCTTTATTCGGATTTACAAGTTCGTTAAGTTTGACCTGAAAAACTCCAAATTCCAAAACACAACATCAACTTGGGAAGTGAAAAGAAAATTGTTCAATTGAGACCTCTGAGACGCCTAAAATTGTCAAACTAGTTGCAACATAGGTAATTCTTTTGCACCTGTGCTTCTGTGCGTAAGGTGAGAGGGAGGTATTACGAAGTCATGCTGCACAAAAATTTGAAAACAAACTCAAACAGTACCTGTAGATTGCGCCCAACAGCACAAACCCGCACCAGAGCTTCAGTGCCATCTTCACAGAGAACCATCTCACAATCAACGGCAAGCATTTTTGGAAATTTCTTTATCTGGTTTGTACTGAGCTTCATTCTCAACCATCCCTGAAGTTAAGAAGACAACACAAATCAATTAACATAAAAAAATCAACCATAAAGGAAATCAAAAAACTAAAAGAAACCTTCATTGTTTACTTGTCTCGTTTGGTAACTCACTGTTTTACCCTAAAAGTCAAAAAGTCGCTAAAAAAACTAAAAAGCCAACAACATATACCATGGGATTGCACACATATGTTTCTCATTAAGTTTGATGGGTTCGGCAGCTCTAAGAAAGCCAAAACCTTGTGCTCCTGTATTGTTTGTGCTATTTTCTGGATTATTTTGCGGGAAAGGAATTCAAGGATCTTTGATGGAAAGGAGGCTGCAGTAGATTCTTTGTGGGATAGGGCTGGTTTTTTGGCTTCATTTTGGGCTTTTGTGTCTCCTCCGTTTAAAGGAGTTTCACTTTTCTTGATTTCTAGGGATTGGTTTGCTATTTGCAACCCCTAGTGTATGGATTTTCTTGTTTTCTCTTTCTTTGTTTTTTTGATAGATGTTTTTATTTTGATTGGGTTCTTGTTCATTGTATGAGGACTTCTTGTCCTCCTCTCTTTCTTCTTTAATAAAACTTCTTGTTGGCTTTCAAAAAAAAAAAAGTCAAAGATTCTATTGTCCCTCTACTTTTTGCACATCTTTTCGTAAAAAACTAAAAAGTCATTCCGAACATACTAATTTCTTTTACCTCATATTTTAAAGTCACTTAAATAGTATGTTCTCAAACAAGGCTTGAGAGTAGAAACCGTCAATTAACAAAATTGGAAAGAATTTAAATTCCATTAAATACAAGCAAATAGGGCACCTCTTATTTGTTGGTTTGCAACAAATGAACTTACTTGGACATATGCTTTCACTTTGCACAGAATTTATGTTGGACATGAAAAAAACTCGGGTTGGAATTTTTGACACTACATGAACCAGATACGAAGTTGGCCAGTTAGGGTTGACTAGTTAACAACATGAACCTCAAAAGTGACACAATACGATAGCGCGCACACCCAAAAAAATAAAAGCAAATTGAGTTAGTATCAAACCTACATAACTCGAATTTGACATGTCTAACCCGTTTGAAGGTGCTATTGTAGCAATTCTTGGAGTAAGTTATGAGTTAATTTTTTGTGTTAGTTTTTAATTATGATTTTACTTTTTATTATTGAAAGTCATACTGGTTTGGAATACTAATTTGGCTAATTGTGTTGATTGAGACTTTTTATCTATTTGACTATTTGTGAGATTATTTCTTTTTTTGATCGGCAAAAAGAAACTTTATTGATGCAAGAAACAAGAGCAAAGTACAAAGCAAATTACATCAATAAAGGGGAGTGCAAAAGCATCACAATGAGCTAAATCATCCAAACTATGTTGGCACCAAAAAGCCCATCCTATCATTTGCTAGCACCCCCAGAGTTGGTAAGAAACCAACGATAAAAACAGACCAAACCAAAGCTACACCAGCACAACCATCACAGGCCAGAGACCATCACAGACCTGAGCATAACAGTCCAGCATGAAAACACCCAAAAAACACTAAAACGCCATTCACCCTTTTACCATGAACTCCACCCAACAGCACTTCCAATTAACAAACCAACCAAGCCTCAAAAAGAGATCCAGCTGATGGTGATAAACAATGCACCTACACAAGCTTCTGTTGCAGGCCCACTGATGATGACAAACGATTCAGATCAATCCATACGCCACCATTCAAGAGCAAAAGACCAGCATTAGTCACAGAAATAAAACAGATTGAACAGAACAAGATCAGCTCAACCAGATCAGAACAGGTCAAAAGGAAACCCCCCAGACAAACAACCCCAATCTGCCAAGAAGATCAACCCCAGCAGCAACAGCCAATAGCCAATTGGACAAACAAGAAATCAGACCAGATGCAGGGCACACCAGAGAGCTCCACAGTACGCAGAGCACTTAGACAACAGATCAGACCACAATGCAACATATCAGCATTAGACACAGAAAGAAACCAGATTGAACAAAACAGATCAGATCAGGACAGGTCAGATCAGATCCAAACAAAACAACTAATCTGTTGCAAGGCACCAGACTTAAAACATAGCATTCAACCTCCAATTCTGATACACAACTTCACCCAACAGATTCTGAACAAAACCAAGAACCAGGGCGCAACCCAAACTGGTGCTGCTTCATTTGCATAGACTTCAATCTTCAAAGCTTTGTATGTTAACTACTCAGCTCATCTCAATTAAGTTGAGAATTCAACCACATTTTGTAAAATCACCAACACAGAAGACAGCAGCAAAAAACAGCAGCATAAAAAACAGAAGACAGCCAGCCAACACAGAAGACAAAAGTAGAACATCATCATTCAGCCAGCCAACACAAAAGGCAAAAGCAGAGTTCAGCAAGGCTCCCATCCATTAACTATCACAACCAACTTACATCAACCCAGAAGCAACCGTCTCCTCCCAACACAATCCTTGATCTGATGCAAATTAGTGACCATCTGCTGCACTGAGTATAGCATCCCCTCTATATTCATTTTACTCCAAAGTGCTACCCTTACCTTCACCAACTCTGTTAATTCATTCCACTCAACTGGTTTGCCACTAAAAAGACATTCATTCCTAGCTTTCCATAAAGACCACATAACAGTTAAAGGTACCACTCTCCACATTCTCAGGACAATCTGGTTGAATTTGACTCCTGACCACCAAAGCAATAAATCCTCAACTGAGCCAGGTAAAACCCACACCAGACCCCACCATTGCATCATATCAGTCCAAACTTTCCAAGCAAAAGGGCAAAACAACAAGAGATGATGAACTGACTCCTCGTCAGATTTACAAAACAGGCACAATACATCTGATTCCTCATTTAACACTCCCAGATTTTTTAAAACAGCTGCAGTTTTAAGTCTACCTCTCCAAGCCAACCATCCACAGAATTTTACCTTGGGTGGAGCAAGATTTTTCCACAGTACCTTAGTAACACTAAGTGTTGGATCTTTTGAATACATCCACCAATTCCATACTGCTGCTACTGTAAATGATCCTTCTGGATTGGCCAGCCAGTTACATGAGTCCTCAGCCCCCAAAGACAGAGTAGGTGCTTCCCTGAGTAAGTCATGCAATCTTAATACCTCCTCTTCTTCCCATGCTAGCAATGGTCTTCTAAAAATTAAATTCCACTCTCATAAGATTGTCCCCTCCTCTGGTAAATCTGCTGAATAGTGCTATCTTTCTCCTTTGATAAGCTATACAATCGAGGAAACTCCTCCTTCAGGCATACATTGTTGAACCACTTATCCTCCCAAAAATGAATTCTACCCCCATTCCCTACTGATAGTTGAAGGTTTGATAGATAAAATTCAACCAAAGCAGGTCTTTTTTCAACAAGATGAAGGATATCACTCCAAACCCTGGACACTGAAACATTAGTATGAACCTCAAAAGTGACACAATACAATAGCGTGCACACCCAAAAAAAGAAAAAAGAAAATTGGGTTAGTGTCAAACCTACATAACTTGAATTTGATGTGTCTAACCCGTTTGAAGGTGCTGGGGTACAAGTTCTTGGAGTTAATTATGAGTTAATTTTTTGTGTCAATTTTTTTTGGGTTTTTACTTTTTATTATTGGAAGTCATATTGGTTTTGCTTAAATGAATATTCCTGTAACCACCTATTATCCAAGAGGAACCTATCTATCCTACTCCATCTATCCCCATCTTGAGCAATGCACCAAGTAAAACTTCTACCCATAATAGGCAGGTCCACTAGGTTTAACTGATCAATTAACCCATTAAAATCATTCATACCTCTCTCCCTTCTTGAGCATCCCTTTCTTTCACTGATATACCTAATTTCATTAAAGTCTCCACCCAAACACCAAGGATTAGAATAATGGGTTTTTAATCTACCCAGTGAATCCCATAAGAACCTCCTTTTAAGTACATCATTTGGGGCATAAATATTAACTATAGTGCATTCAAATCAAAACCCACACCAGCAAGTCCTGAAAGCAGGACAAAATTTCTTGAGCTGCAACACTCCTTAAGTCTGAATCTATCCGGATTCCACATGCATAGCAAACCACCTGCACTACCTTCAGCATCTACTCCCATGAACTCCATCTTCTCAAATGGCCACATCAGCTTAATGAACTCTTTCTCCATGCTACCTCTCTTGGTTTCTTGTAATAAGACTATGTCCACTCCACCCTCTTTTATCATTACCTTTATCTTCCTCCTTTTTTCTGGTCTTCTGAGACCTCTTACATTCCATGTCATTATATTCATAAGGAACCATATGTTACACCTGCACCCCTGCATCAGCTATTTAGGCATCAACAGCCATTCCCCTGCCTTCAATCTTTTCCAAATCCTTGCTTTCCATCTTAACAATTTTTTCTATAGCTTCAACTTCTTTCCCTTCAAAATTTATGCCAAGTGACTGCCCCATCTGGACTGTTGCCTTAGCTTCCTTAATCAATCTTCTGCTTCTACTACTTGACTCACTTTTAATTGATAAAGAATTGGAAAGAGCTGCTGCAGTGGCTCTGAAAATAGCACCTCTGTTAAAGCTCTCGGCAGCACTCTTCCCCTTTGTGAAGGCAGTGACTTACCTTTTAACAAAACTCCTCTTTCTCTCCCCTTATTTCCCCTTTTTCTACTGATAACCCTTCTTTTAACCTTTACACAGCTGCTTTCTCCATCCTTCAAGGCTGCTGATGAGCCTACTCGATTGAACTGAGTTTGGGCTTACATAATCACTCAAGTTTGACCAGGAATGGTCATTGGGCCTACTTTGATTTGCTTCACCCTGGACTCCCTTCAACACTACTTGTAAATTAATCTTGGGCCTCTCCATTACCAGCCCATTCAAGCTTTTCATAAATCCTGGTGTGAAAATATTGGCATCAATATTTTGAATGCTCCCAGCCACCTTTTCCCTTCGGCTTTCCCCAAACTTCAGCATTCCAACATTGCCAGAGCCCCCAGCTTTTGAGTTTTCCAAGCCTTCATCTGTTGGCCTTAATGATGATGCTGCTCCCATGCTTCCCCTTCCTTCCAGCTCAGATTTCCCCCCCTCCACTGTGTCCTTAACCCTGCTTACCACTTCAGCACTAAGTGACATCATCACCACCTTCACCTTTCTTTGCTGGTTCCCTCTGACCTTCAATGGTGCCGGATAACATATCCTGCCTACTGTAAGAATTTGAATTCATATCCTCCTTAATCTGAGCACTGCCTAACCTTGTGGTCATCCCTATTGGGAAGACTATCTCTTCACACATTCTAACTGGATAGTAGTTCCCTTTGCATTCAAGTGTTACCACTTTGTTGATGAACTCTCTGCTTTTTGTGATTATCCTTACTTTACCCCATTGAAAAGAGACTGGGTTGTTTATATCCTCATCAAGCGGAACTACTTCCCCCCAAACTCCCCCAATGTCGTTAAAAGTTCTTATGTTCCACAGATTAAAAGGTATGTCAGAGCATAATAACCAAACACACCTTTCACTTTCAATCATTCTCCCCTTTTCCCATTCCTCCATTGATATGCACCACTCATATATCCATTCCTTCAATCTTTCTTTCCATTCCTTCATTTGTTCCACAGACTTGAAAGTTAGCAGCGCACATCTACCCCCTCCCCCCCACCCCCCCCATCTCTGACATTCACACCCTTTAACCCTCTTTCACTACACTCCTTTTTAAAATCAGCAAAGATAAAGAATGCTTTTAGCTGTACTACTAGACTCTCATAGAGCCAACCATTACGAATCTCTTCAGCCTGAACAGATATCCTGTTGATATCTCTTTTTAACCCGCGTATAGCATCCGCATAAGAGTTCTGACCTTTACCCCCTCTGTTGTTTTCCATTGCACCCTCTGTTTGGTGGCACTATTACTCTCCTTTCTTAACTCCTGCATCTTCAGATTCTGAGCTTTACTTCCGTACACAGCTATTCGTACCTTCACTTCCTTATCATCACACCACAACCCTTCAGTTTTTTGAACTGCCATACTTGCTGCAACCTGAAAATCATATCTAACGAACCCAAATCTTGTTCCCAAAACTTTCCTTCTTTTCTTCGGAATAAACACATCCTTCACCACTCCATAGTTGCTAAATAGATTGAACAGACCTCTTGGTTCCATCGATTCTGGTAAGTTGTACACAAAAACAGTGAACATTCCTGGTCCCCTTAAACTAGCTTGCTGATATCCCACTGGTTTTCTCCGAAACACTGGTTTCCACCCTCCTCCTTCCATGGTTTCTAACAAGGGCTCCTATGTTTACACCTATTTGTGAGATTATTTCAACTTCTACTTTTGTGGATTACTCATGAAACATGAACCTCAAAAGTGACACAATACAATAGCGTGCACACCGAAAAAAAAAAAAGAGCAAATTGGGTTAGTGTCAAACCTACATAACTTGAATTTGATATGTCTAACCTATTTGAAGGTGCTAGTGTACAAGTTCTTGGAGTTAATTATGAGTTAATTTTCTGTGTTAGTTTTTTTTGGGTTTTTACTTTTTATTATTGGAAGTCATACTGGTTTTGGATACTAAGGCTAAGTTTGGGAAGTCCCAAATAAGCCAAAAAGCCAAAAAGTTACTCAAAAAGTTAAAAAGTTAACACTATTCACCAAAAGTCAACAATTACGGCTGCACAACTCCCAATTCAAATTTTCCTCTACAAACCAATTTTTACAATTTTTTGTTACACATTTTTCCATAAAAAGTCAAAAAGTTAACCCAAACATCCATATTTTCAATCTCAATTTTTTAGTCCAAAAAGACAAAAAGTGCACTTATTTAGTCTTCCCAAACTTGGCCTAATTTAGCTAATTGTGTTGATTGAGACTTTTATCTATTTGACTATTTGTGAGATTTACTTCTACTTTTGTGGATTACTCATGAATTTTTGAGTTATTTTTATGGATATCATATAGTCATTGTAGATGTTGATGAATATATGTGTTTATTCTTGTTAATGGACTAAACATGTATACATAACCTAAGAAGCATAGATACGGACACGTGACACGACACGGACACACCGACACGTTAATTTTCAAAAAATGCAGGACACGACACGCAGGGGACACGCATGAAATATAAAATTTTATATATTTATTATATGTTATATATATGAATATATCATTTAAAGATAATAAAAAAATGTAATGCAACATTAATTCCTATAAATTTATATGATTTTTGTTTTATTATTGTATCTTAAGTTGTTTTGTTCAAACTTATAATTAGTTTCACATGTGTCTAATCGATAGACACGTGTGTTTAAGCAACAGACACGTGTGTCCTCCAAGTGTCCAAAGAGTGTCCGGGACTTTAAAAATAGGACACATTTTGAAGAGTGTTGGACACGTGTCCTAAGAGTGTCCAAAGAGTGTCGGTGTCCGATATGGACACGACATGGATACGTCACATTCTTAGAAGTGTCCGTGCTTCTTAGTACGTAACAAATAGGATGTGCACATTAATCATGGCATGCAGGTCGTAATTAGGTTAACACTTTTATAAATAGGTCGGGTTAGTGTTAAGGGAATTCTCACTAGAGCTGCAAACGAGCCGAGCCGAGCTTTACTGAGCTTGAGCTTGGCTCATTTGCTTATCGAGCTCGTTTATTGAGCTCGAGCTCGCCTTGTTAAGTAACTAGACTCGAGCTCGAATCGACTCGACTCATTAATATTAATGAAATTCGAGCTCGGCTCAGCTTGGCTCAATGAGATTTTTTTAATATTACTTATATTATTTAAATAAAAAATATTATTTATATTATTTAATATATAAATAATATATTTATTATTTAATTTAAATAAAGACAAACGAGCCGAGCTTATTCGACCTTGAGCTCGGCTTGTTTTCTTTTTTTAAAGCTCAGTTCATTTGCAACCCTAATTCTCATAAACTGGAGATGACATGAAACAAACAAGATCAATAAGACAGATTCTCACCCCCCAAAAAACATTGAATATTTATAATTAGCCCACAGAATTTAGTCTCGTTTCTTCAAATTGCAATAGACGAGCATGCAGCAAATTAAGACTAACTGTTTTCAAATATATTTAAAGGGACAACAGGGGCTACTTCTGGACCATGCTCCATATGGTATCAGCTGGAGTTGTTTCCTTCGGTACATGCACGATCATAGATATCAATTGCATTTTCACCAAGGAGTAACCGTATATCTCGCAAAATTTGAATTGGTCTTTCCACTCATTATTGTGTCATCATCGGCAAAAAAAAATAGTATACTAATTCTCTTGGCACCAGAAAGTACAAAACAACCAATATTTGTAACATACACTTCTTAATAAATTCAATATTCAAATAATGTCTCTCCCTGCTATTGCACAAAAAGCAAGGAATTTTCTTAGTAAAGAAGAGAACAAGCTGCAAATGCAATAGCCCAATCTGATAAATCAAACCAAGCCTTAAGTCCAATCAAATGGGGTCGGCCAATAGCCCAATCTGATGCACAGTTATAAACTATAGCACCTAGAAATGACATATACAATAGGAGAAGGGATATCAAATGCAAAAAAAGAATCAGTAGATTATATACCAATTATTCCAAAAGGTGGTAACAAAGCGAGTCTCATTGAAATCACCCAATTGATTAAAAAGTAATTTCAAATCCATGACGACTTTTCTTTTAGTTCTATAGAAGGGGAAACCAAGCGTAAAAGTTGCATGCAAGAGTTCGTCATTGAAGGCAGTGATTTCATGATGATAGATAGCTATAAAATTACTCCGAGGCCATGCATAGTAAATTCTAAAACAGAATTTGAGTGACGCAACCTGCATAATTGGTACAAGGCATAGTTGAGTAATTTTGAATTTACCTTTAGCTAGACATAGAAGAGAGTATTTATAACAATAAATTGCTAATATTGGACCATGTCTAGAACTAGAAGATACAAAAGTACAATCATCACTAACAAGCAAGGGGTGACTCAGAAATTTTTGCAATATATGAAAATAAATAGCAAAAAAAAAAGAAAAGAAAAAGGAACAATTTGAGTGACGCAGCCTGCATAATTTGTACAAGGCATAGTTGAGTAATTTTGAATTTACCTTTAGCTAGACATAGAAGAGAGTATTTATAACAATAAATTGCTAATATTGGACCATGCCTAGAACTAGAAGATACAAAAGTACAATCATCACTACCAACCAAGGGGTGACTCAGAAATTTTTGCAATATATGAAAATAAATAGCAAAAGAAAAAGGAACAAAATTGACAGCAAACCTCCTCATGTGACAGAAATGAATAATCTAATGGGTATTTTGCAATATATGAAAATAAATAGCAAAAAACAGAAAAGAAAAAGGAACAAAATTGACAGCAAACCTCCTCATGTGACGGAAATGAATAATCTAATGGGTATTTTGCAATATATGAAAATAAATAGAAAAAAGAAAAGAAAAGAAAAAGGAACAAAATTGACAGCAAACCTCCTCATGTGACGGAAATGAATAATCCAATGGGTATTGTGGGTGTTCAAGAGTTAAGCGAACCAGCATCTGCACTGCCACAACAGCAACTTAATAAGGATCATACTCAATTGAATTACAAGTAAGATACGGAAAGCTTAACAAATTTGTAATACAAACAGCCCGCCTTACAATACAAACAAGACGAAGAATTCTGAGAGAAAAAGTAGAAAACACCAGTAAGTGATTTCGGATTAATGATGCATTTTGAAACTAGTGCTGAAAAATCTGTTCAAACATTTTACGAAAACACAACACGCAAGAGCATAATACAGAATCAGTCAGACAAATTAATATTAATGTGGTTAAACCGAGAACAAGACAGAAATGTGCATTTAATTTACAACATAAATGAAACTAAGCTAGAGACATCACAATCTTGTGACTAGAATATTGATTAAGGAGGAAAATCAAGCAACAGCATGCTGTTAAAAAAAATTAAATAAATAAGAAGCTAGAATAAAAATAACTTATTCCTAATCAATCCATATATGTAATTCTTTTACATTCATCAAAAATATATAATTCTTATCCCAGTATGAAACTACAGCTTGCTTACAAACACACTGAATAAAAACATGTTAATCAAATCAAAGCAAACCTGCACAGGGGATTCAACTTCTCTGGATTAAAAACATGTTAATCAAATCAAAGCAAACCTGCACAGGGGATTCAACTTCTCTGGATTCCTCTATGAATTTCCTAAGTATATCCTGCTTCGAACACCAGTGCATTTTGTTATCGAAAAACTGCAAACAAACACAAGCACAAGCGCAAGCGTGGTCGTAACGATTCTTCACATAAATTAGTTACAAGGCAACAACTTTGGTGCAATTAATAACCTTTAAATCATCCTCTCGGCTAAATGTCTTTAGAAAACAAGCCAATGTAACGGCGGACTTCTTTCTCGGATCACGTATTCTAGACCCGAATAGTTTGTCATGCTTACTTAAAAACACCTCCCAGTCTCCTTCACTGCCCTCCATCCCCTGTTGCTGGGCCGCCTTGACCAGCATAGCAAGAACCTAACAACATTCAAGTGTTATTTCAGATAACACCAGCTTCAGTGAGAGAGAGCAGCAATTTGCACAAGCAGTGCAAAGCAAGGTTTTAGATCTACATCTATCTAGTATTTCCCTTTCCAGCACCAACAATTGGTAATATATATTCAATAATTAAGTTGAATTTCTAAAAAAATTCATTAATTTTACTAGAAACTATTAAATCCTTTAGCAATAGGTTGATTAACTACAAAAAAGAAAAAAGAAAATTGTTCATATATTATATAGCAAGTGAAAGCTTTATCCTTCCCCACGTTGGCGATCATCTTATCCATCTGTGTGTGTGTGTCTCAGAGAGAGAGAGAGAGAGAGAGAGAGAGATACGAAAAGAGCCGGGAAGTTGAATTAGGAAACAATTTATATAATTATGTTCGTTGTTTCAACACTCATGAAATGAAGACGCTTACACAAATTTGATTTTAAGTTATCTTCAATAGATTCTTTACAATTTTTTTTGAAGTACTTACAAATTAGAAGACAAATTCACATGATGAGTAATTTGAATTTTAGTTTTATTACCATGTCATGGCCTACTTATTTATATACATATGTTTATCCGATGACCAAACTAATAATTGTATGCTGACAATATTTTGATATAAAACTATTTTTTGGGATACTTGTATAGAATTCTTAAATGTTGTAATTGACAAAATTTTGGGACTTTTCTTTATTTTTTTAAAAAAAAATTATATTGTTTTATGACACAAATAATAAATGTATAATGACACAATATCTAAATTTATCCAATTGTTGGAAATGTAATGTCATAAAATCTTATTTTATTTTTGAAAAATGTTTGAGACCCCTTTTGAGGATGACCCCCACACTCCTAAAATGATCCCCTCTTTCTATGTATGTGTGGAGCCCATATGTGTAGGGTTCACATTATGAGTAGTACAGATTTGTGGGGATCTTGTGGGGGTGGGAATCTCAAAAGTATTTTTTAATGATATTAATTTTATAAAATTAAATTTTATATTAAAATATATATATATATTATGAAAATAAAATGAAAAAGATTAAAATAATTTTTAATTTTTTATTAGAAGAGAGAGAGAGAGAGAGTGGTGGGATGTGTGACCCATGACGTGTGCGTGTAGTGAGGGAGAGAGAGAAGGGTCAGAGAAAAAGGGAATGATTCAGTGTGGATATGTTTTAAAATTTTTTTGTTTAAAGAAACAAATCTGAACCATGCATTTCTTGGAGGGTGACGTGGTTCTATCTGAGCCGTCACCCGGAGTAACAATCGGAGAGAGTGGCTGGAGAGGATTCAGACTCGTGCTATCAAACTTCTGCAGTTATATATAGAACCAGTTAGTATTTAACCAACAAATAAATGGGCCTTTTCTGCCCCGACCCGATATTTAATACGAAATTTTTTTTAAATTATTTTTTATTATTATTACAAAATTTCTCAATTTCCTATGCTTCATTTTTTTTTTATTGCTTTATTAAATTTAATGTACATACTCTCTTTAATTTTCTGAAAGCCTTGGATACAACAAACAGTTTATATAATTCTCGTTGTTGTTTCAACACTCATGAAATGAAAAGGCTTATACAAATTTGATTTTAAGTTATCTTCAATTGATTCTTTGTAATTTTTTTTTAAAGGTACTTACAAATTAGAAGACAAACACACATCAGGAATAATTTGAATTTTAGTTTTATTAGCATGTCATGGCCTACTTATTTTTATACATATGTTTATCGGATGACCAAACTAATAATTATATGCTGACAATATATTGATATAAAACTATTTTTTGGGATACTTGTATAGAATTCTTAAATGTTGTAATTGACAAAATTTTGGGACTTTTCTTTATTTTTTTAAAAAAAATTATATTGTTTTATGACAAAAATAATAAATGTATAATGATACAATATCTAAATTTATCCAATTGTAGGAAATGTAATGTCATAAAATCTTATTTTATTTTTGAAAAATGTTTGAAACCCCTTTTGAGGATGACCCCCACACCCCTAAAATGATCCCCTCTCTCTATGTATGTGTGGAGTCGTTATGTGTGGGGTCCACATAATGAGTAATACAGATTTATAGGGATCTTGTGGAGATGAGAGTCTCAATCATTACTCTTTATTTTTTATAAATTGACATACCAGTTAAGTTTAGGATTACAAACGAATTGAGTCGAGTTAAACCGAATTTTGCTGAGCCCAAACTTAGTTCGTTTACTAAATGAATCGTGTCAAGCTGAGCCAAGCCAAGACGAGCCGAACCTTAACAAGCCGAGTCGACTCACAAATAGTTTAATTCATTTACAACCTTAGTTGAGTTCGCACATAATTTTTTTTAGCATAGTATGGAATGAGCAGACCACTGACGACACAACGTTTAATTATTTTCCCTTACGATTAAAATTTACGGACTTCTAATTAGACGCATTTACACTTACACATGCAGATGTAAAAAGTATATGTAATTTACAACTACCTAGTGGTGGAGTTTCCCAAGATAGCCTTGGATTCTACTTAAGGTGGAGAAACACTTTCAAAATAATAATAATAATTGTAAATTCCATTTTTCTCAATGATACCAAATAAAATATAGGGCAAAGTCAATAGATTTGTTATCCAAATTTGGACTGGTTTACAATTTAGTTATGAATTTTGACAGTTAATAGTAGAAATTATATTCCTAATTCCATATGACATCTAAAAAAAGTGCAACAGTTGTAAGTTTTGAACATTTCACATCCGCTAGACTTCACAATTTAAAATCAATCCATTTGTAACTTAAAGCACATCATTGCCATGCTTATCTAACATCTGTGATCATTTTTAGAAGAAATGCAAACTTCTTGAAGTTATTTTTGTATACTAGGGAGAGTTTTATATGCAATTTCCAAGATTCTTCTTTTAACAAGCCAATTTTAATCACATCATAAAGTTAAATTTATAACCTATATATATTTATATTGTTAAATATTAGAACCTATATGAATAATGAGTGTGTACATATATAATACATATATATTTGCTAAATTATATACAAAAAAAGAGTGGGAGGGAAATTAATACAGCTTGGGTAATATATCCAAACACACAAAATGGTCTAACATTTGAAAGGTCAATGACAATTTATACACACATGTAGTCACATACTAGTGTTGACGGGAACATTTTTTGGGGCCAATAGAAAGAACCTCATTCAGAGAAAGAAAGAGAACAAAAAAAAGAAGTATAATAGAAAGATAAACAAAACACAATACAACACAACACAACATGATACAAACTAACTAGAGTTAATCATAACAGTGCATGGGATGAAGTTTCGAAGACAGCGCTGAGCTTGGAGAAAATGCAAAGATACAATCTAAAAAATACAATCACAACAGCACTTCCAAATGAGCCTAATAATCCCATATTAGGTATCTAAAGTTACATGTGGAGCCGAGGTAACCGAGAACTAAACTAAACATAACCTACTTAGATTAAGAAACATGGGAATCGAATTAATTTTGTTTGGTTCAAGGTTGAATAGATGGGTAAACTAACCTAACCAAAAAAAAAAAAAAACTTCTAATCTTATATTTAAAAGGTCAATATATATAGTTTGATCTTAACCGGGAATAGGGCAGTTTGTTTGCTATACAAGTTGAAGAACAAAAGATTCTCAGAAAGTTGCCTAATATCAGGAATAACATTCAAATTATCAACCAATAATGCAACAAGGTGAACCAATTTTACCCACAAAAAACACACGTGCACTCTTTCATAAAAACACA